TCTGAAACTCAGGTCTGTCTGAAACCAAAACCTATGTTTTGGGTATTATACCATGCTGCCTCTCACTTTAAAAAAAGAAAGTTTAGGTGAGGTATAAGCTAAAAACTCTGATTTCAGACTGTGCCAAGAATAAAGACTATTTGCTTTCAAAGGGAAAGACAACATTAATTTTTAAAGATTATACAAGTAAATGTAGCAAAATTCCATTAAGAGGAATTAATGTTCCAGATTAAAAACAAAAATTTTAAGGTTTTTTTCCCCTTGTTTTGAAATAGTATGTAAATATATGATCCACATCTTTCTTTCACTTTTTTTCATCCCACAGTGAATTAATTCAACATATTAAATCTCTCAGGCTCACCAATTAGTTTGAAGTATAAATTATACTACTCTTCTCAGATTCAAGACTCATATACAAATCATAAAACAACACTCAAATTTCTTATGATGGCAACCAAAACGTAGTATTTAATTATTTGGAATGCTTATTTTAAAACAGGTAGACAATTTTTCATTTTTCTTTACTAAAAAAAACTTGTTACCATATATCATATCACTTTATGAGAAATTTTCAACAATGCATCTATTATTTATATGCCATAAATTGACCTATAATAAGGTAGTATGAACACGCAATGGTTAAGACTATTGCCTTCAGAGTCAGGAAATCCTCAGTTTTGAATTCAACTCAACCATTTGTCAGTCATGCAATTATGAAAAATTACTTTACATCTCTGAGCCTCAATTTCCTCACCTACAAATGCAGGTATAATAGTTCAAAGGTTTTGTGCACATTAAATGTGTCAAAGTAAATAGGCTACTTAGCACAGTGCCAGAAAAGCAATAAGTAACAAATGATAATTGTTATTTTTATTTCTTATTGTTTTTGTTGAAATTAATATTAACAATTTATTTAAATGTATAAGTAATTTTATTAATCTCAAAAAATCTTATCTTATGAAGACCACTTCGTTCATTATCATCCTCCTTCATTTATTCAAACATTTACTGAGCTCCTATTATATGAACTATAGTACACTAGGTGTTTGAGAAGAAAAATCATTAAGAAACCATCCCTGACTTCAAGGAATATACAGTGATGAGGAAAACAAAACAGACAACTAAATTACTGTAATGCAGTAATAGAAGACTCTAAAAGGTATATGTAAATACAGATCTGTTGTTTTTCTTAGGTGCTGTTGAGTTGGTTCTGACTCATAGTGACCCTATGTACAATACAATCAAACACTGCACGGTCCTGTGCCATCCTCACAATCGTTGCTATGTTTGAGCCCACTGTTGCAGCCACTGTGTCAATCCATCTCACTGAGGGTCTGCCTCTGTTTCACTGACCCTCTAATTTATCAAGCATGAAGTCCCTCTCCAGGGACTGAAGTCTCGCCATCCTCCCTTTTAAGAAGCAATCTGGCTGTACTTCTTCCAAGACAGATTTTTTTGTTCTTCTAGCAGCCCATGGTATGTATATTCAATATTCTTTGCCAACACTGTAATTTGCAGGCACCAAATCTTCAGTCTTCTTTATTAACTATCCAGCTTTTGCATACATATGAGGCAAATGAAAATACCACAGCTTGGGTCAGGCGCACCTTAGTTATCAAAGTGATATCTTTGCTTTTTTAACACTTTAAAGAGGTCTTTTGTAGCAGATTTGTTCAATGCAATATGTCTTTTGATTTCCTGACTGCTGCTTCCACCAGCATTGATTGTGGATACACGTAAAATGAAACCCTTGACAACTTCAATATTTTCTCCATTTATCGTGATGTTGCTTATGGGTCCAGCTGTAAGGAATTTTGTTTTCTTTATGTTAAGGTGTAACCCATAACAAATTATGGATAACATTGCGAAGAAGGGGAATTCCAGAACACTTAATCGTGCTCATGTGGAACCTGTACATAGACCAAGAGACAGTCATTTGAACAGAACAAGGGGATACTGCGTGGTTTAAAATCAGAGAAGGTGCATGGCAGGGTGATATCCTTTCACCATACTTATGCAATCTGTATGCTAAGCAAATGATCTGAGAAGCTGGACTATATAAAGAAGAACGTGGCATCAGGACTGAAGGAAGACTCATTAACAACCTGCAATATGCAGATGACACAAACTTGCTTGCTGAAAGCAAAGAGGACTTGAAGTACTTACTGATGAAGATCGTAGACTGCCTTCAGTATAGATTACACATCAAATGTAGATCTAGGGACACCCAATTGAGCCTGAGTGGTACTGTTTCTTGAGGAAGTAATACTGAACTGAATCTTCAACTGAATCTAAGTTAACATTTTCCCAGGTAGAGAAAGGGGTCTGGGACACAAAGAAAACGGCATCTGCAAAGTTATGAAGGCTTGAGAGAAGTTGGTACATTTGGAGGATGGGAAGCTATTAAATTTTTTCTTCATCAAAGCAATCAGAAAGTTAATATTTCCCCCTTTTTCTGTTGCTCACATTACTTCATTCAACAAATACAGTATCGAGTGCTTAATTTGGTAAGCACTCTGCTTGGTTCTATGGAAGAGAAGAGATTAATCAGACTCAGGTTCTGCACTGAATCAAGTTATATAGTATAGTAGAGAACAAAAGAAGTGAAAAAAAATTATGAAGGGTCAAGTGTCTCTAGAAAGATAAAATTGAGCTGGAAAAAATCAGACTCATAGGACAATTCATATTTGACTGGCAATCTTATTTCTTATAAGACAAACAAAGATTCATTGTCTACCAGTTAGGGGCCAGGCAATGAATCATGTACTTTACATACTCCACATCCTGAAAGAAAAAAAAAAAAAAACTTATGGAAGCTTGCTTGATAGCAATAGGTTTCATCCCTGTGCACCAATATTCCTCATTCTTTGAACATAACAATCACCTTACTCCTCACTAAGTCTGGACATGTCCTCATAATCCCTTTCAACATAGCACACCAGGTAGCCACTGTCAGTAGCTCAGAGTTAGTACTCAAGAGAAAACCCCTCTGACTTCCCTGTTTTAAACAGTCTAAAATAAATCCTTCCATTAAACTGTGAGATAAAGCTGCATACATCAAATACATTGCTTTACATGACAACTGATTTCAGTAAAATGCCCTTTGACATTATGCTCTCAGTCTACCTTGAGGGATGTTACAAGATAAAACCCTATGAGATGTATTGCTGTAAATACCATCAGGATATTGTTGAGGATGTTGTTCATCACATTTAACAGTGCCCACTTCAGGAAGCCCAACAGGAAAAACTTCTATCAGGTTTCAATACCTGGTTTATTTTTATCCTATGGACATTGTTTCTTTCTTGGCACTGGCTGCCAAAAAACTCACGAGTAAATCTGTTGTTTACCTATAACAAAGTTATAAGACCTCACAGCATGTATTTTATGTACTCATACAACTGATTTTTCTTCTGCCATTTCCCCTTTCCCCTTTTTCAGCCTTCCTTATTTACCCATTTTTTAAATACAATTATTATTCTGCACATATTTTGATAAAGTGAATCAATATACATATACATTTCAATAAGTTGCAAGGTGGGTATCATTCTCCATTAAAAGATTGAGGAAACTTTTGCTCAATTTTCAATTCAGGATTTAAACAACTGCAACCTGACTCCAAAGTCTTTCTCGTTAGATACTCTAATGTACTGCAAAGGCTCATACGGTACTACTACAGATCCAACTGGTATCACTAATTGTTCATATAGTATCAGGGAAACACACATTATTCATGTGATGAGTATGTAGTCAGATTGGGCAATTTCTTGAAATAAGCTTTTTAGTAAGGGGTGGACTAAAACTGGAGTATAGTTAAGGAAAAGATATTCTGGGAAAGCAACCTGCATTATTTCAAGCTGTAGGTAAACCAAGACAAGTCTTAATCTTTAAAATGAGGATAATTCTATTCTCACAAACTTGTTATTATTGTAAAGAGCCTTTATATCTTTAGCTGAGGTAAAAAGAAATCTGAAGGTATTTTCTAGGCACCAAATATATCCTGGACAGGTCACTAGCACATAATTCAAAGAAAGTAGGATACACTGTTTCTAATTATGTGGACAGTATTCAGATCTGACTGGAGGACAAGACTACAATACGTGGAATAAACAAAGAGCAAACTCCTGCATAAACAACTTCTCAACTGTTTGGAATAAACAGTCAACATTCTTAGGGTTGAGAGAAGGGAGAGGTTTGAAGATTATCATATAACTGACACTAGTATATCCCTTCAGTCGCTCTCTCTCACACATACACACACACGCACACCCACACATGCACACACATGCACATTATTCAAAACATAATTAAAAATTATTTGTAAATAACTGTTTACCTTTTTTTCATTAAAACAATTAATTAACTGATAATTTAACATATTCTGAATATCTACCATGTGCCATTCAGAGTGTAAGGTTCAGTGCATAAAGAGGTTAACAGGATCCAAACCTGACCAGATGGGAGTTCACAATCAAGTCATACTCTCCCCTTTCAGAATACCCACAGCATTTTTCTATTGTGATACAATATTACTTTCAGTCTTTAGTCTGTGTTCAACTGAATGTGTTCTCTAATTGTGTCTTTATATAGAAACCTCCTCTCTCCCAAAGACTGTTCTTTAAACATGTCATACAGAACCAGGTACATAGTAGACATTCAACAAATAATGATTTATCATATATTCAAATCATTATTTCTTTTTATCCCCCAAAAAATAATACCCAGAAAAGCAGTTTGTAAATTATAAAGTGCTACAGAAATGTTCATTATAATTAGCATCCATTATACTTCCAATCATTTACAGCAACAAAAATATACCATCTCAGTTTTCAGTATGTTCAACATAATTGCACCAAAATTGATTTTTTTTTTCCTGACAACTTGTTCCATAATGGCGAAATATTAAATGGGTTGAATCACCCTGAATTGTCAAATGGACTTGTATTCTGAAAAAAACCTCACCAGACAAACTCAAAGGCAAAAGCCTTTAATACACTCACCACTTTCAAAACAAGCATCAAAGATGAGATGTCCTTTCTTGGGCTGTCCACAGTATCCAGTTGGAAGAACCATATATTTGCTCACATTTCCTCCGATGGCATCATCATTTCCCATATCATTGCCTATTTTAAAAAATGGGTTATATTAAACAGAAATCAAAATATATTCAGTAATAATAAGTCCAATAAGATTTTTATCATTAATTTTCCCCTATCTCTGGTCATATAGTGTTTATCCAGGCAGTGAGAAATTAACTATATATTATGGTACAATAGAAAGAGGGTGCATTTTTAAATCAGAAAAACATGGGCTCAAATCTCACCTCTATCAAATACTAATTCTTTGTGACTCCAAGCAATCTACTTAATTCCTTTGTGCCTCAATTTCTCTCATAATAAAAAAGGAATGGCAAAAATGATCTTTTAAAATTGTGTTATGAGAATTATATATTTTTAAAACATGTTATTATAAAAAAATATAGTATTATGACTAAAATCCAGAAGATATTCATCAGATTACATCAACTATTTAATAAGTAGTTATACATTTAATTTCTCACAAATACACATTTCCTTGTCTTAATAAGAATAAAGCAACAGTACTATCACATTGTAACTTCCAAATGCTCCAAAACCAGAAACAATTTGAAAGCCACTGAATTAGCATAGAAGTTCTATTTCCTAATGAAAACTTCAAGTTTTTAAAATTTTGGAAGTTGTACTATGCCTGGGATGTAGAAAGCTGGAAAGAGCATTGCTTCCACCTTAACAACAAGAAAAATTCTGATAAACTACAAAATCATAACTTTTCTCAAATATATCAGAGAATTGATGTTGAAGGGCAACCAAATAATCTCATAAGCAAGGGAAGTCAGGCCCTACCAAAAAAAAAAAAAAAGGTAGGAAGCAAGCAATGACTCTTCTATGGCAGAGCACAGGAGAAAGAAATGTTGGGTGCTATACGAAGAGACTAAGATAAAAACTACAGCAGACTTCTCATCAGAAGCCAAAAGAGCGACATCTTTAAATCACTGAAAGAAAAAAACAGCCAACCTAGAATTCTGTACCCAGCGAAAATATCTTTCAAAAATGGATACAATAAAAGTATTCTGAGAAAAACAAAAGCCGAGCAAACTTACTATCAGCAGTTCTTTCTTACCAGAAACACTACTGAAAATTATTCAGGCAGAAGGAAAATGATATCAGACATGAACTAGAATTTCCATAAAGAAATAAATGGCTCTAGAAATGGTAAAAATGAAAATAAATATCAATTTTTTCTAATTTTTAATCACTCTAAAAGATAAATGAGCATACACAGGAAATTACAGTAACAATGTATTTGGGTTTATGCCATATGTAAAATACATGGCAACAATAGCACAACAGATGAGAGGGAAAAATTGAAAATAAACCGTTTTAAGTTTCTTAAATTAAACATAAACCAATGTAATATTGTTTGAAAGTAGATTAGATTTTAATAAACTAAGAATGTATACAGAAAATCCTAGGATAAACACTAAAAAAAATAATAATAATTTATAAACAATAAAACAGTAATGAAGACAAAACAGAATTTAAAAAAAATAGCCAATTACTCCAAAAGAAGGCAAACAAAAGAGAAGAGAAATAACAAAGAAGAGATGGACCAAACAGAAAAAAAAGTAGCACAATATTAGACTTAAGTTCAAACGTATCCTTAAGTGATCAAATAAATTAATAGAGACCGTCAGATTTAATAAACAGTAAAATTCAATGATATACTATCTACAAGAAATCAAGGTTTATACACAAAGACACATATAGGGTAAAAGTATAAGGACTAAAAAGATATACCATTCAAAAATAATAAAGTAGGCAAACCAGACTTCACAACAAGAAATGAAACTCAGGATAGAGAGAGACAATGCTTAAAAATAAAGGGGTCAATTCACCAAGAAGACATAACAATCCTAAATGTATATGCAGCTACCAAAAATGCTTCAAAATAAATGACGTAAAACAGATAGAAACAAAAGGAGCAATAGACAACTACACTGGAGTCTTCAACACTACTATTTCAATAATCAAGAGAAATTAGCATTATCAGGAATGAAAGAGGGAGCATCACTAAAATTCTACAGGCATTGAAAGGATTATCACAGACTATTATGCACAACCTTTGCTCATAATCTTGTGAATGAAGATGAAATTACCAAATGCCTTAAGAGACACAAACTACCAAAGCTCACTGAAGAAGAATTAAGTAACTTGAAGAATCCTGTATTGAGTAAATAAATTGAATAGACTTTTTAAAAGCTTTCAACAAAGTAATTTCCAGGCATTATGCTGAGTGAATTTAGTCAGTCACAGAAGGACAAATATTGTATAAGACCACTATTATAAGAACTCAAGAAAAGGTTTAAACACAGAAGAAA